GTAGATTAAGGCAAATAGGATCAAGTGACTTGCCCCGGGTCACATAGCTAGAGTGTCTGAGACTGGATTTGAACTCAGGTCTTCTGACTCCAGGCCCAGCACTCTATCCAGAGCCACCTAGCAGCCTCCTTTCATTACTATTTAGTTCAGATGATTGTATAAGCCCCAAGGGATTGTGGGATCCACCAGGGGAGAAGGTTGCTTGATGCCTTCTGAAAGGAGGTACAAAGTTTTCCTAATCGTTAAGGAGCTTGAGTATGAACCCCACTTTGTTTTGTCAGATTCAAGAACTATCCAATGTCTTGTTAACCTTAATGCTTGCATGGGACTTGGCATAGACTTGAAGAAAGATGTGTGCCAAGCTGGGTTGGGCTAAGGGGCCTCTGAGGACTCTTCCAGTTCTTAGATTCTGTTATTCTGTGAACAGACATGAAGGCCACATTCATTAACAAAACCTAATTTATTAGAGATAAAAAGTCAGTCAAGTCTCACACACCATCCATTCTGTATAGGAAAACAATAGAAGCACGTAAGCAAGTTGATCGTAGACATGTCAGTAGCAAAAAAACCACATTCATTTGGGACCAACAGCCTTGATGAGCTGCTCCAGGGCACCATCGGTATCTTGGCCCTTTGCAGAGGAGGCAGGCAGAGGTCAATGGCAAAGGGCAATGGTCTCCATATTGAGGAAGCGGACGTGCATCTTGGTCTCTATGTCTATCCCCTGCCAGATCTGGAATGGGATGAGAGGACGCCATTAAAGAGACATTGCCAAGACTCCTTCAGGGAAGCGGTTCATTGCCTGCTGACTGGTCCATATTTTCTTCCCTCTCTCTGCAGCACTGACCCTCATCCGGGTCTGAAAATCTCTGAGCAGGTAAAAAGTGACTAATGACAATCAGTCACTTATGTCTATACCACAGATATCAATTGAGGAGTGGGGGTTAGAAAATTCATTCTGTTTTCTTAGGGGTTAATTTTGGCTATGGCATTCATGTTCTCTTCTAGCCTAGAGGCTTCTTAGGTGGTACAGGAGATAGAGCGCTGGGCCTGGAGTTAGGAAGACCTGAGTTCAAATCTGGTCCCAGACACTTATCAGCTGTGTGATGCTAGGCAAGTCACACCATCTTTACCTACCTTAGTTTCCTCACCTGTAAAATGGGATGATAATGATAGTGCCCACCTCCCAGGGTTGTTGTGAGAATCAAATGAAATGATATTTGTAAAGACAATACTTGGAACCTAATGGGTGCTTAATAAATGCTTGTCTCTTACCTCTTTTTTCAAGATTATCAAATTACAACACAAAATGCCAAGTTATTAAGCATTGAGATGAGGCTCTAGGCTTAGGACTGTGTAATTAATAATTAATGACCTATAGCTCCTCTTTCCCTAAGACAGAGCAAACACTTTCATAATGACCACGTTCCTTGTCTTTAAAATACACCTGGGAAAGGGTAAATACTATACTGCTTTTCACAAAGTAAGACAGTGAGGTCCTGGAAAGGTGAGTGCAAGCCAAATATCTGACTAGGGCTAGAACCTCAGCCGAGTTGAATTCTAATCAAGCATTCTGTCCTTTAGACTTCTCTGTTTCTGTCTCCCTCCCTGTTTGTCTCTCTGTCTCTGTCTCTCCTCCCCCTCACATTTTCTCTGGCTCCCTTTTCTCCCATTGGACCCCAACTATTAATAGAGAGGATGGCCATGTGAAGGGCAGACAGCTGCTGAGCATTTCTGAACTGAGCACTTTTCAACCTTACAAGTGACCACTTCTCTGACCATGTCAGACATTGTATCAGGGTAGCGAGGAGGCCAGAAATGGGGAGAGGTTCCAAAGCTTCGGCATCTCCCTCCCTCCCACAGCCACACTCACCCCAGAAGGCAGAGAGGACAATCACAGACTAGAATACCAGCCACAGGCTCTAATTAAAAACCCCCTTCCTTATAGCTCTAGGGCTCCCCCAAAGTGGGCCTCCTCTCCTCCAGTAGCACCCACCTTTAGAAAGTCGTCAAAGGTGATTCCCTCGTACACTTGATCTGGTTGCTAGGGATGAAACAAACAAAAAGTGAGTGGACACTGGGGACAGCCCTCAGGGAGAGGCAGGGATGGCAACGTCCGCCCCCTGTCCGTAACCAGCCCAGTCCGCCCCTCCTGTCCTTCATATCAGGAGTCTCTGAGGACAGAAGGGGGTGGGAGAGCCAAAGAGACACAGAGTTCCTTCCCCACCACCAGATTTTAAGGAAACTAGCTGGTGAGGGGAAGAGCTGATGAGAAGGAGGAGGAAAATGACTCAACTGGACATATGGTCCAGCTGACGGTGAGCCAGCAGAGAGATTTCATTTCACAGAGGAGCCCTTTGTGAGTGTGTTTGCATATATGTATATGCATATGTCATATACATATATATACGGTTTACCCTGCTTGCCTCAGTTTCCTCACCTGTAAAATGAGCTGGAGAAGGAAAGGGCAAATCTCTCCGGTATCTTTGCCAAGAAAACCCCAATGAGGTCACGAGGCGTAGGACACAACTGAAATGACTAAACAACAAATATGCATGTGTTTGTGTGTATATGCATGTGCATGTAACTATGTTTGAATGTACATGTGTTTGTATATATACATATGCATGTGTTTCTGCATATGGTCTATATGTGTGTATTTGTGCATCGTTTGTGTGTGCACATGAGTATGCGCATATGTTTTATATGTGCGTGTGTGTACATGCGTTTGTGTATATGTCACTGTGTCATATACATGTGTGTATTATGTATAAGTGGGTACACTTATTTATATATACATGTATTGTATACATGTGCGTTGTGGATTATATGTATGTGTGTAGGTACATATATGTGTGAGTGCAGGCATAGACAGCATTGGGGAGGAGAGGTTCTGGATCCGTAATTTCATTTCTGGGGGGCGCTCCTGGCGTGGACTGATTTAGCTTTAGAAATTCACCCAGCACACTGAGAGTTGAACTGACTTTCTTGCGAGTCGCACGACTGATCAGGTGTCAGAGGCGAAATCTGAACCCAGATCTTCTTGACTGAAGGCCAAGCTGTCCATTAACATTCAGAACATCCTATTCCCAGGGAATTCTGCTGGAGAGGCCCAGATGATTCAGAGCTATGTCTCTCCTCTCCTCTTGCTCTGTCATCTCACAAATCCTACTATGTGTTTGCACTTATACAAAATACTTACTGCACATACATACATGTGTATACATGTAAACTAGAGGTAACACATCTCTCATGGAAACCTTTTCTGTAGCATTTGCCTTCTACGTTGTGTAGGCTTGTGCTTGCCCCGCTCTTTGGAGCGTGATGCAGATGTGTCTGCACGTAGAGACTCCATGGATCCATGATTCTGTTGGCACATTAGCTTCTTTTTACATATTGGTTTTCCCCATTGGAATGGAAGCCCCTTGAAGGCAGGAATGGCTTTCTTTTGCTTGTATTTGCATTCCCAGCACTTAGCACAGTGCCTGGCATATAGCAAATGCTTGTTGCCACCCTGCAGGCCAGGATGGAGAATCTTTCCACCAAGGCAGATTGCAACTGCATTCATGGTCCATCCATGTGAGCTGCTGTGGGCAAAATAACCGTGACCATGTGGCCAACTTATGTTGAGCTTCCCTGAAACCAACTACGATAGTTCTCAGACAAAAGATTCATAGGGATCTCAGACAGCATCCATTACCTCCTGCACCTGACCAGGAATTTTTGCAATGTATCCCATCTATCACCCAGCCTTTGCTTGAAGACCTTCAGTGAGGGAGAACCCAGCTCCCTTTGCATCGTGCCGAAGTCCGCCTCTGTCCTTTCCACTCATTGTTCCTGGCTCCATTCTCTGGGGTCTCTTCCCTAGCATAGCCCTTCAGATACTGGAAGAAGGCTTCCATTTCCCCCCTAAGTCTTCTCTTCTCCGTGTTCTCCTCAGCAAACCCTCAGATCACGTGGTCTTGGCAAGAGGTCACTGTCCTGGTCAGTCTCTTCTGGATGTGATGCAGGTTCTCAAGGTCCCTTAAAATATGGCACCCCAAAATGAACACAATACTCCACATGTGATCTGACCAATGCTGAGCCATTCCTGAACGGGGCTATCACCCCTCTAATCCTGGATGCTAAGCCTATCTTAAATCAACCCAAGATACCAAGGCTACCATCTCACACTATTGACACCTACTGGGTTTGCCGTCATCGAAAGGTCTCAGATCTTTTTCAAAGGAGCTTCCAGCCATGTTTTCCTCCATCTCATAATTTTGAAGTTGACTTTTTTTTTACCCTGAATGTAAGACTTCATAAATTAGATTTCATCATCTTAATTATGGACCATATTTCTAGCCCATTAAGATGTCTTTGGATACTATCATACAAGGCATTCTCTGAGCCTTCCTGCTTTGTGTTATCTGCAATTTTGATAAACATGTCATCTATGTCTTTATCCCCGCCATTGATAAGATGGTTGAACAACATAAGGTTAAAGACAGATGTTTGGGGCTAACCATTGAATAATAACCCCCATCAAACAGCAACCACGTATGTACGGCTTTAAAGTCTACAAAGCACTTTACAAATATTACCTCATTTGATTCTCACAATGACCCTGGTAGGCAGGTGCTATTATTATCCCATTTTACAGATGAAGAAACTGAGGCACACAGAAGTCAGGCGTCTTCCCCAGGATCACAGCTAGTAACTGTCCAGCACTCTATCCATTGGGTCACTTAGCTGCCTACTCTACTTTGGGTCTAGCCATTCCGTAAGTTTTGAATTTGCCTAACAGTTCTATGACCTGTCACACCTCCAGATGTACAGTCCATTGCTAGCCCCACACTTGAAGCCTTTCCAAGCTTGGCTGCGATCTGCCAAAATGTGTGTTCCCTGGCATAGCTTTCGAGTACCCAGGGTCACCACACCATGAGGAGGCATTGGAGGGGATGACCTTAGCGAAGATGGAGCAATATTGGGAAAATGAACAGAGAACACACACACACACACACAATCACTTCAGCAGCCACTAAAATGTGTCTATGGATTTTATGTTGTTCAGCAGCTGCCAACAATTTTACTAGGGGAAATTAAGAATGCTGTCACCAATTGAAACTGAAGTAGGATTGGGAGTAATTTAAGGAGGGAAAGTATAATTAAATCAAATGGGAGTTTGGCTCAGTATGGAAGCAAGCCGGGCATCCTGGGCCCTCGTGACCAGCGCTGTGGGTCTCTGTGCTGCTGTCATTTAATTTGCTGAATGTACCAGATTTCCACCTAGCCAGAAGCCTCCCTTAGGACCAAAAGACCAGCCTGAAAAAGACGAGTAAATAAAATGACCCCAAGCTTCCCTCTCCAGGGACAGCCCCAGTGCCTGAGATCAGGTGCTGCAGCTGGCAATCTGTCTACCAGTTTCAGTAATTAATTAGAAGACACACACATAAGCTTTTCTCAGCTGAAAGACCTCTCCACTCCACTCAGGATGCTGCAAGGAAGACAAACGTTTCGTGAATCAAGCTATCAATGTGAAGATCTCATTTTTTTTAAGCTAGGCAATGGGGTTAAGTGACTTGCCCAGGGTCACACAGCTAGTAAATGTCAAGTGTCTGAGGCCAGATTTGAACTCAGGTCCTCCTGACTCCAGGGCTGGTGCTCTATCCACTGTACCACCTAGCTGCCACTAAAATGATCAAACATATTTGGATTTTTTGTTTGTTTGCTTTGTTTGTGAGGCAATTGGGGTTAAGTGACTTGCCCAGAGTCATACATCTAGTGAGTATTGTGTGTCTGAGGCTGGATTTGAACTCAGGTCCTGCTGACTCTAAGGCCAGTGCTCTATCCATTGTGCCACCTAGCTGCCCCAAGATCTCATCTTTTACTCTGCTTAAGGGTGGCAACCAACCTTCGTTGGCTAATCTTTCAGTACTCAGATGACCGGCCACGGTTAGGTTGGATACTTGAACCCAGGACAAAATCAGCACAGATCAGAGTGAGCTCCATGGCTGATGCTGAGGCTTTCATCTCTCCCCCTTTAAATGAATAGGACATGGGGGAATACAGCTAACGGCCATTAGTTGGCCCAGTGGAGAGAACATTGGGCCTGGAGTCAGAAAGACCTGAGTTCAAATCCAGCTTCAGACACTTACTAGCTGTCTGACCCTAGGTAAGTCACTTAACCTCTGACTGCCTCATTTCCCTCTTCTGTAGAAAGGGGATAATAAAAGCACCTACTGGGGCAGCTAAGTGGCACAGTGAATACAGAACCAGCCCTGGAGTCAGAAGGACCTGAGTTCAAATCTGGCTTCAGACACTTGACACTTACTAGCTGTGTGACCCTAGGCAAGTCACTTAACCCCGATTGCACACACACACACACACACACACACACACACACACATACACAAAAGGCACCTCCCTTCCAGGGTTGTTGTGAGGATCAAAAGAAATAACTGTAAAGTGTTTTTCAAACCCTAAATGTGTAATATAAATGCTAGTTATTTATTATCATTATTATAGATGTTCAGTTGTGTCTGACTCTTCATGACCCCATTTGGTGTATTCTTAGCAAAGATGTTGGAGTGGTTTGCCATTTCCTTCCTCAGCTTATTTTACAGATGAGGAAACTGAGGCAAGTAGGGTGAAGTGACTTGCCCAGGGTCACACAGCTAGTAAGTGTCTGAGGCTGGATTTGAACTCAGGGAGATGAGTCCTCCTGACTTTAGGGCCAGAGCTCTATGCACAATGGCGCCTGTAGTTGTCCCCAAACTCAGGCGTCTTAAAATCACTTAGTCACTACCCAGGAGGGAAGAAGCCAGGCACAGTTGAAGTCTTTTTGTAGCTAGAGCTTTGAAAGGTAAGCTTGCTCCATTTCACCACATGCCAGGAGCTGGGCCCACTCTGCCCAGGGGGCGGATTTTGGAAAGCCTGACTCACCAGAGCCTGGGTCCTCTCTCTTTGTGGTTTTCACAGAGTTTCCCAGCTTCTTCTCCATCATCAACACTGCCCTCCCTCTGAGCACCCTCCAGTGTTTGCTCGAGTGTGGGAACAAAACCTCAGAGTTGGAAGGGACAGCAAAAGCCACCCGGCCCTACCCTTCCACCCTCCCTCACTCAAATCAAAGTCAATTGCAAGTCATGTCATCATCTCCCTGATGTCATGGTCCCCTTTGAGAATGAAGAACAAACCACGCACGCGGACGTGCGCGTACACACACACACACACACACACACACACACCCCACCCTTATCTGAACAAGAATCCCTTCTCCATCATCCTTTATCATTCCCTACCAGGGGTCATAGTCCCTGCTTATAGGTCTCCATTGATGAAACCTCCTGTTTTATCTCCCCTGTTAGAATAGGAGCTCCTTCCTTCCTTCCTTCCTTCCTTCCTTCCTTCCTTCCTTCCTTCCTTCCTTCCTTCCTTCCTTCCTTCCTTCTGTCCTTCCCCTCCTTCCTTCCTTCCTTCCTTCTTTCCTTCTTTCTCTTCTTTTCCTTTCTTTCCCTTCCTCCCTTCTTTTTCCTCCTTCATTCCTTCCTTCCATTTCTGAACTACAAATGGAATCCAGGCCTAATGCCAAGCCCTGCCCAGTGCTGATACTCTGAGCTGAACACCCATCTTCTTGCCCCAGGAAAGCTCACCATTTGTCCTACACAGACACTAGCAGCCTCCATCATGGCTCCATCAGCAATGGATCTGGCTGACTCCTTTTCAATGTGGGGGTTTCCAGAAAGCAGTTCCTCTACCACCTACCAAGGCAGAGACAGATTCGAGTGACATCTGAGTCAATGTATGGAGGCCTCCTGAAAGGCAAAGGGGGAGGCCGAGGTGGGGAGCATACTTTACATTTCGATATTCTTCCAAGGTGATCCGTCCATCACTGTCAGAGTCGTACATGTGAAAGAGAACTAGGGAAGGAGAGAGCGAGAGCGAGAGTGAGAGCGAGAGCGAGAGCGAGAGAGAGAGAGAGAGAGAGAGAGAGAGAGAGAGAGAGAGAGAGAGAGAGAGAGAGAATGAGATTCAGTCATGTCAAGACTTCCTGCCTGGGTATGGCAGTACAAATACTTTTGTTTACTGGGTTAGCTCCCAAAGCATCAGGTCCACACAGAAGAAGGCAGAAAAGAGCTATGTCTCCAATCTCTCCCTGCTTGACTCTTGAACTAGCAGCCTTCCCTCCTCTTCTAAAATCAACCCAGCTGAGAGAAAGAAAACCCGAAAGCCAAATCAGAAAGCTAAAGCTCACTATAGAAATGGATTGGGGTACATTATGCTGTGGCCACCTCTGGATTATTTGCATTGTCATCTGTCCATTACAAGTATTTGTCAAAGAGGAAGGCACTGGGGATTCTGGCCGGCATTGTCCTTCACTCTTTCGCCTACATTTGCCTATATCCTCTGTGGCTATGAAAGTCACCGCCCCACAAGGCAGCCCTTCCATCATTGCATGTTCTGATTATCAGGTTATTCTTCTGTAGGTTGAGGCCAGGTCAGTCTTCCTGTTATATCCACTTATTCTGTCCTCTGGAATTATATTTGTTTCTGTTCATTCATTTTTGTCATGTCTGACTTTTTTTTTTGGGGGGGGCTAGGCAATGGGGTTAAGTGACTTGCCCAGGGTCACACAGCTAGTAGTGTCTGACTTTTTGTGACCCTATTTAGGATTTTCTTGGCAAAGATACTGGAGTGGTTTGCAATTTTCTTCTCCAGCTCATTTGATGTATGAGGAAACTGAGGCAAACAGGGTAAAGTGACTTGCCCAGAGTCACACAACAGTCTGAGGCTGGATTTGAACTCAGGTCTTTCTGACTCCACAATTGATGCTTTATCCACTGAACCGCCCTAGCTACTTCTAGAATTATATAAAATCAATCTAATCCAGTCCATCTGGAATCATAAAATTTTAGGAATGGAAAGTGACCTAATCCTACCTTCACTTGATGCATAAATCCTGTCTATAATATCCCAAATAAGTGGCTGTCCCACTTCTCTGATCCACTGATGAGGAACCCTTTATCTCATGAAGCAACGTTTTCCATTTTTGAACAGCTAATCTTTAAGGAAGTTGCCTCATTTGACTAAAATTTGCTTACCTGTAATTCCCATCCTTTGGTCCTAATTCTGTCCTCTGGGGCCAAGCAGAATAAGCCAGATTTCACAGTGTTTACATATTTGAAGACAGCAAAGACAGCAATGTGGCTTAGAGAAAAGAGTACCAACTCTGGCTTCAGAAAACTCAGGTTCAAATCCCATCACTCACAATTACCACCTGTGTGATCTTAGGTCATAATCTCCCTGGCCTTCATTTCCTCATCTATAAAATGGCTAGCTAGATCTCTTCCAGCTCTAGAGCAATGATTCTTCTTGGTTCCTCCATCCTCTGGTGGCCCTTTTGTATATGTCCCCGTTTGTCAACATCCCTCTTAAAATGTGGCCTGCAGAGCAGAATGTAGTGTTCCCATGTAGTCTGATAGCCCAATATGTGGTGGGACTATCACCTCCCTTTATCCTGGGCACGTAGTTTTGTTCATGTAGCCTGGGACTGTAATAGCTTTTGGGCAGTGATATATTGGTAACTCTTACTAAGGCATTCTCTCTGGCTCTAGCCCATGCCTGCAGTGTTCTCTCTCCACTGCTTTGACTATTGACCCCCCTTGGCTTCCTATAAGTCTCAACCGCGATACCATCTTCTACAGGAAGCCTTTCCCACCCCCTCCTAATATTAGCGTCTTTTCTCTCTAAATTATTTCTTGTTTATGTCACTAATGTGAAAATATGTTTAATAGGAATGTAAATGTATAGCCTATATCAGATTGTGCGCCATCTTAGGGAGGATGGTGGGGAGGAAGAGGGAGAAAAATTTTAAACTCAAAAGCATATGGAAGTGATTGTTGATAAATCAAAATAAATTAATTTTTTTTAAAAAAATAAAAAAAATAAATTATTTCCTGGTTATCCTGTATATAACTTGTTGGTACCTGTATGTTTGTTGTTATCTCCCCCATTAGATGGTAAGCTCCTTGAAGGCAGGGCATGTCTTTTGCCTCTTTTTGTATCCCCAGAGCTTAGCACAGTGCCTGTGTTAATAAATGTTTATTGACTGACTAAAGCAGTAACATAATAAATTTAATGGTTTCTATACAGTTCAGAAAAATGTGAATTGAGATAATGTAAATAAGAGGTTTGTTATATATTTATATGTAGAAAGGCAGTGTGGAATAGTAGAAATAGCACTGGCCTGGGGGGTGAGGTGGAGTCAGGAAGGATGGCAGGTGCTCAGGAAAGAAATTGCACTGAGCCAGATCTCAGAGGGTGATGGATCTGCTGAGCTTGGGAGTTCTGAGCCTCAGTAGGCCTACAAGCCAATCTGATATCCTCGCTAAGTCTGGCACCAAGATGCGGAGCTCCCAAGAGCAGGGGATCAGTAGACTGCCTAAGGAGGGCCCAGCGTGGAAATGGAGCAGGTCAAATATCTCATGCCGACCAGCAATTTAATCAGGCCCATGAGTGGCTGCCACATTTCTATCCTGCGTGAGACTGGCACACTGAGTCTTGAAAAATTAAATTAGAAATGAATCAAACTGTGAAGATGCAAAGAAAAACAGTTCCAATGAGGAGGGAAAACATGTAATTTGTCTGAAGGGGCCAATGTGGATGCCTAGGGAACTCCTCAACCAATTTACATTTAAAAAAGAAAGGTACAGAAGATGGAGGCTAGGATAGGTAACAGAAGATGAATATAAGAACGGCTCATGGTCCTCTGAAAATAATGTGGGAAGTGCTAAAACTCAAAATGAGCTCAGGCTAATGAGGGAAGTTAAGGACAACAAAAAAGGCTTTTCAGCTATATCAGAAGAAACTGATGAGGGAAGGGACAGGACCTTTCCTTGGGGTGGGTGGGACAATCATATTGGACAGAAGAGGCGGTAGAGCTGCTCAATTATTGTTTTGCTTCTGTTTTCTCTCCCAAGGAGAATGACCTTTATGTTGGAATGACAGAACAGAAATATCTAACACCATCTGGATACTTTAGATAAATAAGAAGGTTTCTTTTTGACTTGCCCTTGATGAACCACAATCAGTGATACCTGAAAGATCATGGAAGATGGGAAAGGCACCACAAGACTGGAGAAGGGTCAGTGTCCTAATTTTCAGAAAAGCAAAGAGAACAGAGCCTGCCTCACTATAGGCCAGTGTACTTGACTTCTATTCCTGGGAAAATCCTAGAGCATATCATTAAAGAGATGGTTGGCAAACATCTAGAAAAGAAAATAGTGATTACAGTGAGCCAACCTGGCTTCATCAAGCACAGGTTATGTCTCTTGCTAATGTCATTTCTTTTTTTCAACAGGTTTATTAGACTAGAAGATGAGGAGAATGTTGTGACCCAGTTTACCCAGATTTTAATGAAGCTTTTGATCAAGTATATCATACTCTTTCTATGGAGAAGATAGATATGGATTAAACATTAATGTAATCAGAGGGATTCATCACTGGACTCAAAAGAGGTGTTGTTAGTGATTCAGTGTCCATGGTCACCCAGTTGGTATTTATTGAAGGCAAAATCTGAACCCAGATCTTTTAGACTCCAATTTGACTCTCAATCCACTATGCCATGTACCTCCATGCCTCTCTCTCTCTCTCTCTTTTTTTTGGCCTGGCAATGGGATTAAGTGACTTGCCCAAGGTCACACAGCTGGTGTTATGTGTCTAAGGCTGGATTTGAACTCAGGTCCTCCTGAATCCAGGGCCAGTGCTCTGTCCACTGCACCACCTGGCTGCCCCATTTATTAGTACCTCTCTTTATTAATAACAATAACTCACTTGAGTTTTATTTGCCTCGTGGGATCTTCTTGATATTGTGACCTCATCACTGCAGGCAAACAGGAACTGGGTCTTGTTACAAGACTGTAAATGCTGCTGCTCCCTAAGGACTTTCCATCTGCCCTGCACCCAGTCACTGCTCTAGGTGTTGTTTCCCCTCATTAGAATATAAGCTTCTTGGGGGCAGCTAGGTGGTGCAGTGGATAGAGCACCAGCCCAGGAGTCAGGAGGACCTGAGTTCAAATCCAGCCTCAGACGCATAACAATTTCTAGCTGTGTGACCCTGGGCAAGTCACTTAACCCCATTGCCTAACCAAAAAAAAAAAAAAAGAAAAGAAGAATATAAGCTTCTTAAAATAAAGGACTATCTTGTTTTTCTGTTTGTATACCCAGAACTTAGCGTAGTTCCATAATAAACCCATAGCAAGTGCTTCGTAAAAAAGCTTTCCCTTTTTGTTCCACACAGAAGGTGTTCCAAAATTCTTTGTGATAGTTTAAACTTTAATAGTTTGGCACTGCACTAAGACTTTTGGGACACCCTATATAAGGACCCTTGACAATACACTATGGTAGAGAGCACATGAGACCTGGGTTCAAACTCTGGCTCTGACCATTGGTTGCAGAATGAAGGTTTGTGGAAGGCCAGGGCCAAGTTGGGAGTGTGCACCATCTAGTCTCCAGCCATCTGGGGCTTCCCTCCGGCCATTGGACCTTCCCGTCAGACTTACATCTTAGCTTTTCCTTCCTGCAGTGCTCCAGCTGTTCCTCATCCATGTTGGTCTCAATTGGTCTGAAGTAAGACATTATGGTCAGGAAATCCTCAAAGTTAATCTCGTCAGCCAAGCCAGTGGGTGCTTTTCGGAGGTTCCTCCAGAAGAAAATAGAGAGAGAGGAAGAAACAAATGAGGACCACCTCTGTTCAAGGGAAAATATTTATAAGCTACCTTTCCTAATAAATTTTCTTCACTTAATCTTTAACTAATTAATTAAATGTATTTAATTCTTAATTAATTTGATTAATTTAATTTACTAATTAAATTAATTAATCTTTCTCACTGCACTCTAATGACGTTTGGATTTTACTGATAGGGCCACGGAGGCACAGGATAGTCACATCATTTACCCAGGGCCACACAGCTATTTTGTGGTAATGCCAGGCCAGGGACTCAGAGCTCTTGATTTTTTCCCTTATTCTCTGTTAGATTACGATGTAGAGACACGGGCTTTGAAAGAAACCCTTGGAGTGACATCTTCTAACCTGTTGTTGCTGTTCAGTCATTTCAGTCCTGTCTGACTCTTCGTGACCCCATTTGGGGTTTTCTTGGCAGAGATACTAGAGTGGTTTGCCATTTCCTTCCCCAGCTCATTTGACAGATGAGGAAACTGAGGCAATCAGAGTTAAGTGACTTGCCCAGGGCCACACAGCTAGTAAAAGTCTGAGGACAGATTTGAATTCCTGAATTCATTGACTCCAGACCCAGTAAACCTTGATAAAAAGCCACTCACCCACTTGTCTGAGACAAGAAGCAATTCATGTGAGGTGGGCATTAAGACTCTTGGTTCTATTTATTTCACTCCTTGAGAGAGAGAACCTCAACACTGAGTAGACTTAATCGCGGGAAGGGAAGGTAGTTGCTCCTAGCTGGCAAGGGGTAATGTTTCAATATCACTCCCTTGGTGGTCCACCATCTTTAATCCTTGTAGGATTGGCCTGTTCAGCTTTCTAACTTATAAAAATAGATGGCATTTATCTGGAACATCAAAGTTCATAAGGTACTCATTTGATCACCCCAACAGTCCTTCAAGGTAGGTACTAGACATAGTATTATCCCCACTTTACATCTGAGCAGACTGAGGCCCAGAGAAGTTTCTGAAGTCAAAACTGATGCAAAGTTAAATGACTTGTCCCAGGTCACCCAGCTAATAAGAGTTGAATTGTTCTTGGGCAGGTCACTTTTTGGGGCCTCAGTTTCCTTACCTGTAAAATAAGGGAGTGGTGTTTGATGACCTCTGAAGTGCCTCCCAGCCCTAAATCTCTGCATTCCAAGGGGACTTTCCCTAAGAAGAGCTAAGACCCAGAGCTGGGAACAAGAAGGTGAATCTGACGCAGAGTAAATTCTCAGGAAGGAGAGAGAAAGAAATGTCTCCTCTGCATGTTGCAGGAAGCACCTTCCCTTCTGCACTTCTTTGAAATATTGTCCCATGTCTTAAATCATCTGCATTATAAAGCTTCTCCCACTCCTGACATGTTATTTAAAATAGTTTCACTGTTCTTATGGCTGAGATGTAGACTAAATATACACTGTGTAAAAATAGCCCCCTGTATTTACCCAGTATATGCATTGGCTCCCAGACACTCCTGAAGTGGCTTAAGGTGCAGTGCTGAGGTTGGACACCAGACAGAAATGGAAGGTGGGTCCAAAGCTAGAGAAGGCACTGAAGGAAGCCATGGAATCTCTTTCTTAAAGGGTATGTAGAAAGTTAAGGTAGATTGTAATCCTGTCTGTGTGGCTTTTTCCTGAAGGTGGAAGGGATGAGGAATTTAGGGAAAGAAAGCACAGTGAATAGAGCACTGGGTTTGGAGTCAGGAAGACCTGAGTTCAAATCTTAACTTAGACACTTAAGCTGTGTGACCCTGGGCAAGTTACTTAACCCTATTTGCCTCAGTTTCCTCATCTCTAAAATGAGCTGCAGAAGGAAATGACAAATCATTCTAGTATCTTTGCCAAGAAAACCCCAAATGGAGTCAGAAAGAGTCAGACATGACTGAAAAACAGCTGAACAGCAAATGGTGAAATAATTTGCTGAAGGTCATGAAGTGATGATCAGTTTTGAGCTTTGGTCCCTGACTCTGAGTTCCTATATTTTCTCCCATACTGTGCTGCCCCTCAAACACCCTAAATGGACATCAATGCCAAACAGTTCAGGACTCCCTCCCTTTCTCCCTCCCGTGCAGAAATTAAACTCTGGAAGGAGACACACAGGAGAGAAAGACCTGCTCTCCCATCCAGCAACTGACAATCAGCCATTTGGAACTGTCTCCTAATGCCCACCTTCCTAGAAACCTTGCCCACAGTTTGAAAAATGGGCCTTCCAAGGTTTTGTCAACACTAATAAAAGTTATGTAGCTTGGCCAATGAGTGGCACTCTCTGTGTGCTGGTCAAAGATAAGAAATGCAACTCGAATTCTCTTGGCATGGACAGTTCTGCCCAGGGACCAGGGGGTCAGAAGCTCCTTAGAATGTTGCTTTACATTTCCTTTGGGCAGAGCACCCACAGGTAAGGGTGTGATGTGAGAGAGAAGAAAGAGATAGGAGAGAGAGAGAGAGAGAGAGAGAGAGAGAGAGAGAGAGAGAGAGAGAGAGAGAGAGAGAGAGAGAGAGAGAGAGAGAGAGCTCCATGTTGCCCAATTGGAAGTAGGACAAACAGCAGCAGAATGCTGCTTTAACAGTTTCCACACTTGGGGTTCTTTCTTATCCCCCCTGGATAAGTCTTCTCTCCCTCTTTGGGTGCTGCCATACTTTAAATATTTACATAATACTATCTGAATCCCACTGGGCCGGCTCTTGGTCAAACCCAGGGTGTTGTCTTTCCATAATCTTCCTTCCTTGTGTGTCTCTGATTGCCTCTGGAGTTGGCTGCTAGCTTCTAAACCCACTGTCCCTACGTGCATCAGACTGTCTCCCAAACCCTAGTTTGGGTGTCCGTCTAAGAAAGGCATGGACTTCAAGATTACTAGCATTAAAACCTGGCCTCAGGCATTTACTAGCTTGTGACCCTGGGCAAGTCACTTAATCTCTGCCTGCCTCAGTTTCCTCAACTATAAAATGGACATAATAATAGTATGGAGTACAATCTACTCCTCCTCCTCCTACTAGTACATAATATAATGGAGATAATAATAGGGTTGTTGCGATTGTCAACGGCAATCACAACTTCATGAAATGTGAAAAAACAGCATTAAATGAGATATTTGTAAATATCTTGACACATAGGACTTGACACATAGTAGGTGCTTAATAAATGCTTGTTTCCTTCTTTCCTAAATCTTAGGCAGTTGCTGGAGGCACCTCAAGGTGAAGTGGCTCATCCAGCTTCCAAGGCTAGGAAGGGAACTCACCCCACTTTTCTTGGCCCCAAGCCTAGCACTCTCCCCACCACGCCACGCTTTCTTTATACTAGAATCTAATTACATCCCCTAGTATACCAGTATAGCTTCTTTCTTCCCATCCTGTGATTTTTTTCAAATCTTAAAGTGCTATGTAAATGTGCATTATTATTACCAGTGGTTGTTAAGTCATCTCAGTCATAGATATGTCTCTACATGACCCCATTTGGAGTTGTCTTGGCAAAAATACTGGAGAGATTTACCATTTCCTTCTCCAGCTCATTTTACAGATGAGGAAATTGAGGCAAACAGGGTGAAGTGACTTGCCCAGGGTCACCTAGCTAGTAAGCGTCTGAAGCCGGATTGGAACTCATAACTCCAGGTCCAGCGTTCTGTGCACTATGGCACCACCTACCTGCCCATTATCAATGACATTCCAAGGAATTAATCTAACAATGACACACAAGAGAAGGTACCATCAGAGCTAAGAAAGTAATGTAGAGAGGCTTTATCAATGGAACACCCAAGAACTACCAGAAAAAACTCCAAGGATTCTTTCTCGTTCCTTGGATTCGGTGGCATGTAAGACCTTAATATTTAAATGCTTATTTACTGATCAATATCTTGGGTGTTCTCCCATCTCTCTGACCTCTCCCTCAAACTCAATCATAGCTGACATTTCAATATTAAGGTTTACAAAATGCCAATTCAGCTTAACAAATACTTATTATGTGTTAGATGGCACACTGGATAACGTGCCAAACCTGAAGTTCTCTGAGTTCAAATCTACCTCCATACTCAATCCTCCATGAGTCAGCCGGGGCTGAAAAGCAACTGAAATTAAGTGCTTATGATATATAAGGTGCTGTGATGAGTGTAGAGCATACCAAGGCAGAAAGAAAAAGGGTCCTGCTTTTAAGGAACTAGCATTTTATTAGGGGCACAAGATGGTGCCCAGTTGAGAGCATTTGAGAGAGAATCAGCAGAGAGAGACAGAATGAATAACCTGGCGCTCATAATAACCCTATGAGGCAGGTTGTAAAAGCGGCATATTATCCAAGCAGCCGCAGCTGGTCTCCTGGTTTCTGGCACTAATTAAGTATTTGAGCCTCTTGCTCTCCCATTCCTCCCAAACCCTTGATTTGTTATTTTCCATTTGCTCCTCTCCCCTCATGTGAAAACACCTCCTGGCTCTCATTTCCATTCAACAAACCTTGATTACGCACCTACTGGGGAAAGGTAGGTGGCAGCCAGACTGTGGAGGGCTTTCAACACTGGAGTGAGTGTTTGTGATGTGGAAATAAACAAACTGAACTAAGAAGCAACATGGAGGTTGAATCTACCTCATGCTAGAGGGGACAGCTGGCCACTGAAAGGTTCTGATCTCCCCCACCTCCACCTTCTAAATCCGGTATTGTCTGCTATATGAAATCAACCCCCAGATTTTCACAATGTGTACCTTCTAAGTCCTTACTGTTCCCCAGGTCTCCCATCCCCCTTACTCTTGGCATGTCCATGAGGTTCAACACCAAATGCTATGCCCAGGACTCCATGGTCCCAGTCCCTCTCCCAATATAGTAATGAAGCCCTGGAAGAGGTACCATATGATTATGGATCTGGAGTTGGATGGCACCTTCAAGGTCATCTGTTCTACCTCCCTCATTTTACAGAGGAGGAAACTGAGGCCCACTGAGGTGAAGGTACTGGCCCAAGGTCACTCATGCAACGACATCATGCCTTGAGCATAGCAGGCACCCAATAGTCAGATGCCTAGATTTTAACCTCTCTCAGTCTCAGTCTCCTCATCTATAAAATGGGGATAATAGCGCCCCCTTCAGAAGGCAGAATCATAGCTCTACCTCTGGAAGGGACCTTGGAGCCCATGTAGTCCAAACCCTCTCGTTTTGTGAGGTTCAAATGAGAAAACATGTGAAGTGATGAAGATGATGGTGATGATGGTGGTGATGGTGGTGATGATGATTATGATGGTGATGTCCAACCTCATTTTACAGATGAGGAAACTGAGGTCCAAAGAAGTGGCTTGCCCATGTTTACGAAGCTAATCAGTGTCAGATCCAGGTTTCTTGATTTCTGGTCTGGGGCTCTTTAAATAGCCCAGCTTAAGATCAGCTACCATTTTCTCATGTTAACAAGAGACTGCAAGGGGAGCCTGGAAAAATTCATTAATTCTCTCTAGACTTCTCTCAGTTGAAGCCAGAGCAGCTAACAAGGCACCAACTGGACCATTCATCTGCCTTGCCCTTTCCTAGTAAAGTATGAAGTGTCTAAAAGGAACAGGGGCGGGGAAAATGAGGGGGTGGGAAAGGCAGAGCCCAGAATGAGCCACAGCCAGAGCCTGGGATGAGGTCTGTCCTGCAAAGCCCCAGGCAAACTCCAGAAACAGAGACCCAGATGAGGACCCCTCAGTCTTTTGATTGGCCCCAAAGACCAAAAATGGGAGTCACAGTTTGTATGCATACATCTTTGTGACTTGGCTAACTTGGATTTGATGGCAGAAGAAGTTTCCTAACAAAGCGAGTCATCCCACAGTGGAGTGGGCAGCCTCAGTGGGTTCTTTCTCACTGGGGGTCTTCAAGCAAAGACTGGGCTATCTACTTGTGGGGAGATGCTGTAGTTGCAAATTCCTTTCCAGATATGAGTTGGACAAGAGCACCAGCACTGAAGCCAGAGGACCAGGGTTCAAATCCCACATCAGATGCTTACTATCTGTGCTTTGAAAGGTAGTACGGCTTGGTGGGTAGGGAGTCAAGAAAATCTTGCCTTATGAGCTATGTAAGTGACCTGGGTCTCATTATCCTGGGCTCAGTGGCTTCGAAGGTCCTTGTATTTATTATTCTAATTATCCTGTGACTAAGTGGATTCTAAGGGCCCTCCCAGCCCTAAATCTATAGTTCTATAAACTATAATTCAAACCCAGCTCTTCTGCCTTGGACGAATCACTTAATTTGTGTGACCCTGGGCAGGTCACTTCCCTTTCCTTAGCTTCAGTTTCCTCATCTAGAAAATAGGAATAATAACAATGTCTTCCTCACAGGGTTATTGTGAGCATCAAATGAGACGTACAATGCTTTGCAGCCTTTAAGTGCTGTGTAAAACCCAGTTACTTCTATGATTGCTTGGGTCTCAGTTCCCTCATCTGTTAAACAGGGATAATAATAGTGCTTACCCTCTAGGTTGTTGTGAGGATCAAACAGGACAATCTATGTAAAAGTTCCCTGTTTATCTTAACCTGTAGAAACATGTGAGCTATTATCAAAGTGCGGAGAGGACTCTCTATCTCTGTCTGTCTCTGTCTGTCTTTCTGTCTCTGTCTTTCTTACTCTTTGCCTCAATGTCTCTGTCTCCATCTCTCTGCATCTTTGTCTGTCTCTCTCCCTGTCTCCCCCTTTCCCATTTCTCTCTCTCTCTCTCTCTCTCTCTCTCTCTCTCTCTCTCTCTCTCTCTCTCTCTCTCTCTCTCTCTCTCTCTCCTCTTCCTCCTCCTTCTCCTCCTTTCCCTCTCCTTCTCCCCCTTGTCTCTGTCTTTCTCTCTGCATCAATGTCTCTCTCTCTGTCTCTATCTCTCTCTGTCTCTGTCAGTCTCTCCCCTCTCTCCCTTTCCCTTTCCCCTTTCTCTCTGTATTGCTGTCTCTCTTTCTCTCTCCCCCTCTCTCCTTTTCCCTTTCCCATTTCTCTCTCTCTTTGAACCTCCTCCTCCTCCTCCTCCTTCTTCTTCTCTCTCTCTCTCTCTCTTCCTCTCAATGTCTCTCTGTCTGTCTTTCTCTCCCCCTTTCTCTGTCCACTTTCTCTCTGTCTCTACCTGCCTCTGTCTTTGTCTCTCCCCCTTACCCCCACAGGGGTTCTTAGTCTGGAGTCTGTAACTGATTTTGCAGTAATTGGTTTCCTTTGTAACCCTGCAACATTAAATATTTTATTTTATGCAGTTGAGAACATTTTTCTGAGAAAAGGTGCCTGACTGCCAGAGGGGCTCATGACCCACTTAAGGAGAAAACCCCCCCTGGGCTTAGGCGTGACCTAAAAGTGGTTAACACTGCCAGGACCTCCTCCCCATCCAACAGGTTATTCTGCACTAGTCTTATCACTATTAAACATGCCCCTCCCAGGTCTTTGGGGCTATGGGAACACAGTCCTTTCTCCTTCCTAGTTTTTTCTCTATTTTAAAGAAATCTCCCCCAAGTTCATGGAGGCTTTGAAATTTATGCATGGATTGGGGGGTTCCAGGTCCCCCAACCTACTCCAACTCATGCCTGAAAAAGAACCTCTCCTACAATTTACCTGACACAACCTCTCTGAGACTCAGTTTCCTCACCTGTGAAAGGAAGGTAATACTTGTAGTACCTACTTTAGGGCTCAGATGAGATTGTTATTGTTGTTCAGTCACGTCCAACTCTTCGTGACTCCATATGAGGGTTTTCTTCTTAAAGATCCTGGAGTGGTTTGCCATTTCCTTCTACAGCTCATTTGACAGATGAGGAAACTGAGGCAAACAGGGTGAAGTGACTTGCCCAGGGTTACACAGCTGTTAAGTATCTCAGGCTGGATTTGAACTCAAGTCTTCCTGACTTCAGGCAGGGGCACTCTCTCCACTGTGCCACCTAGCTGCCCAAATAAGATGACAGCTAGCATTCAAACAGTGTCCCAAAAGTCTTAGCTTAAAAGCTATTAAAGCTTAAAACTACATTAAGAGTTTGAGGACATGCTGTGTAGGGTATTAAAATTTGCAGAACCTTGACATTCATTAGCTCATTTTGTCCTCACAATAACCCTGGGAGGTAGGTGCTATTATTATCCCAATTTTACAGATGAAGAAACTGAGGCTGAGAGTGGCTAACTTGCTCAGGTCACACAACTAGTTGGTTGCCGGTTAATCCTGAGGCAGGATTTGAACTCAACTCTTCCTGACTCCTAGCCCTCCATGTTCCCTCCTGTGTTATCTTGCTGCCTCAGAAGGAACAAGCCAAGTAATCTGAAAACTTGTAAGTGCTATGTAATTATCATCTATGACCATGATATTGGGCAAATCTCAATAGAATAACATTGGATCTCCAAGGTACCTGCTGAGATAACCTCAGAAATGAAATGGGAATAATAATACCTCTTAGGCTATCCCTCTGTTGACTTGGGGAAGGTGAATTTAGTGGGGCTGGGAAATGCTTTGAAAAGGAAAAGGAAAAGGAAAAGGAAAAGGTCATCTAATTGCAAGGTAGTGATGACAGTGAGAATTCAAATCCATTAGCCTTATAAAACAGCCAGGAGCTAGCTCTCACCTGTTGTCAAAGAAGGCACGGATGATTTTGGATCTGATAGGGTTGAGCTCCAGATCAGGGATGTTGTTAAAGTTTTCTTTGCTGGTTTGGAAAGAAAACACCAAGAAGAGAAATGTATCAGATCACATCTTCTGTTCTGTCTGGTTGTTGTTGTTTTTAACCATTAATATGGGTCCCAGGACAGCAGTTTAAAGCCAAATGGAAGCACTCGGTCAACTAGCATTTATTAAGTGCCTACTGTGTACCAGGCAGAGTCCTTGAATCTGAGAGCTGGAAGGAACCTCGGAGACCATACAACACAACTTGACCTTGAACAAGAATCTCCTCTACAGCATGAATAAATGAATGGGTAAGTGAATGAATAAATGAATAAATAAGCATTTATTGGGTATTTGTGTTGTTCAGCCATCTTCAGTCATGTCTGACTCTCCGTGACCCCATTTGGTGTTTTCTTGGCAGAGATACTTGCCATTTCCTTCTCCAGCTCATTTTATAGATGAGGCAACTGAGGGCAATAGGGTTAAGTGACATGCCCAGGGTCACACAGCTAGTAAGTGTCTGAGGCTGGATTTGAACTCAGATCTTCCTAACTACAGGCCTGGTGCTTTATTATCCACCTCACTATCATGCTAAACACTGAGGATACAAATATGAAATCAGACAGTCCCTACCCTCAAGGAGCTTTCATTCTGAAGGGGGAGACAGATGGCTAGGGAAGAGCACTTTGGTCCACAAGGGAGCCAAAAGAGAGAAAACTGATCAAAAAATGGCAGGGTTGAGTTGATCATGGTTCACGCTTCCAGAACTGGAGAAAGCCTTTGATTGAACAACTCTGGTGAGAAGTCAGGTTAAGACAATAGGCATTTATTAAGTGTCCACTATGTGCCAGGCACTACCCTAAGCACTGAGGATGCAAAGAAAAGAAAAATTAGTCTCGACCCTCAGCTAGCTTATAGTCTAATGGAGGAGGGTCCATAATCTACTCTTGGGTAATGATGACTGTTAGGGTAATTTCCTTTCATACAGTCAAATTTTGTCTCTCTACCTTGTCCCCTATCCCCTAATTGCTCCTGATTCTGCCCCCGGGGGCCAAGCATTATAAGTCTAGTCCCTCCTGACAGGACAGACCTTCAAATTGCTGAGAACAGTTGTCACATCTCATTCAGTCCTCTGTTTTCCAGATTAAGTTTCCCTAGTTCCTCCAAACCCTCCTTAGATGATATGAACTAGAGACCATTCCCCAATGCTGGTTGCTCCCCAGCTCATCAATGCTCTTCCTAAAATGAGTTTCCTGGTGTTCTAGAGGATGTGGTCCAGGCAAGGTGGAAGAGAGATAGTAGCTCAGTGCACCCAAATTCAATTCAGCTCAACACACTCTTGAGACATTCAAACACTGGACTTTCTTGCCCGGGTACCCGTAGGAGCACAGGCACCTGGAAGGGCCCTTAGAGGCTGCTTAGTCCAGTCTCTACCTTGAACAAGAATTAATTCCCTTTACAACCAACCCCAACCGTGCTCATTCAGCCTTTGCTTACAGATCTCTACTCACAGTAATGATTACCCTGCCCTGCATTTCTAGCAGGTTTCAAGGTTTTCTGGGCACTTTCTTCACAAGAAACCTATGAGGTAGGGAAAGCGTAGGTCTCATTGTCTCCTTGTGTTCTAGAAGATAGATCCCTAGACTTGGAATCAGGAGGCCCTGAGTTCAAATCCAGCCTCAAGCACTTACCAGCTGTGTGACCCTGAGCAAATCACTTAACCTCTATCTATCCCAGTTTCCACATCTGTAAAATGGGGATAATAAAAGCACCTATTTCCCAGGGTTGTTGTGAGGATCAAATGAGATATTTGTAAAGCCCTGTATGTAGTACCCAGCACATAGTAGGCACTTAAATAAATACTTCCTTCCTTCCTTCTTTAAAAGGCTTGCTGTACTTTGGTGGGGGGCAGCTATGTGGCCCAGTGGATAGATTGCCAGTCCTGTAGTCAGGAAGACTCACCTTCCTGAGTTCAAATCCACCCTCAGACATGTACTAGCTGTGTGACCCTGGGCAAGTCACTTCACCCTGTTTGCCTCAGTTTCCTCATCTGTCAAATAAGCTGGAGAAGGAAATGGCAAACCGCTCCAGTATCTCTGCCAAGAAAACCCCAAATGGGGTCACGAAGAGTCAGACTCGACTGTAATGACTGAATAACGACAACAAATACGTTGTGGAGCTGGCCATAACCGAAAAGTAAATAGGCTTTGTGCAGTGGGTAGATGACTTTTTCCCTGGAGAGCTACAGTGGGGGATGGGGTAGGGCAAGGAGTGTGATTTCATCAGTGTAGAGAACTCCAGGTGAGGAGAATCCCTCTACCAATGCAGAGCAGCATCTACTCTGCACCTTATAGTCTTCAGAGTTCCCATGGGCACTAGAAGGTTAAGTGACTTGTCCAGGGTCACACAGCTAGTATGAGTTAGAGGCAGAATTTGAACACAGGTCTTTTAAACTCAGAGGCCAGGTCTCTGTCACAGAAGAAGTGCTATAGATTAAAAAGAAGAAATTTTGTGGATACTTCACAAGAATGGTTTAGATTGATCCGTGGTAATTGATTAGGGAAAACAGGAGTGATTTGGAACCCTGAAATACTGAAAGATTCGAAGCCATGTGTCTTTGGTTCAAAGCCCACTTTTGCTTCTTACTTCCTGTGTGACCTTGGACAAATTATAACCCTCTCAGAGCCTCAGTTTCCTCATCTGAGGGATGGGGTGGACTTGGTGACTTCTAAGGTCTTCTTCAGCTCTGAACTGGTGATTGATAGCTAACCTCGGGAGGCGCTTATCAAAGAGGACCTTGCCAGAGACTCTACTGAGGCCTCCTGACATAGTGGAGAGAGTACTGGACTTGAAGTCACAAAGATGTGGGTTCAAATCCTGCCTTCTACGCTTACTAGTTCACTTCCCTGCTTTGTTTCCTCCTTTTTAAAATGGGGGGTTGGACTCAAAGCACTCTTAGGTCCTCCTTCTACCTATAAATCTATGATTCTCTGTCTTCAGGATGGACCACAGACCCAGGGCTGACCTAGAGAGGCTGTACCATGCTCCCAGACTGAATGAAGGGAAGTAGAACCCAAGAGATCCCACATCTTGGCTCTGGAAGTTTTATGGGGAAAATGAACCCTGGGAACATATCTGTCTGTAGGGAGCTGTGATTGAAAGCCCAGCTGCTTTGTCTGGTGGCCATCCACGTGAGCTGGGTTCTTCTTGTTCTGTGACAAAAAAATGCCTGAGTTATTGACTTTCAAAGCCTCCCCCGCCAACTCCAACAGATGCTATTTTGCATACACTTGGCACATATTTCTTAGAATACCAAAATGCACTGAGCTTCTCAGCCTCTCTTCCTTTCTTCCAAGTCCCTTTCCCCTCCATCTCAGCTCCTCCTTGCTTCTATCCAGTGCTTGCAACTCCAGGGTAGGTTAACACGGTCTAGTAGGTCTGGGTTCTTATGGATTCCACAGTTCCATGGTGGTACAGGTGATAATCCCTTCTGTGTGCCTCAAACTCATGTCCTTCCATCAATTCCCCCCTGGAGGAGACCATGCTGAGAACTTTCTTTGTTTTTTCCTCACATTTGCAGGAATCAGTGGAACATATGGGATATTTATCAGTTTTCCCTCACTTTCATCATGTACTGCCTCTTAAACCCCAGGTGGTAAGTATCTGATGGGAGAATTTGAACCCTGGTCATCTGCCTTCAGTGCTAGTGCTCTTGTCCAACCAATGCCTGAAAAGGAATTTGCTGCTACATCATTCCCCACCAAAGTAGCCACCCAGTCTTTGCTTGAAGGCCTCCGATGAGAGGGAACCCGCTCCTTCCCACTGCCCACTCTATTCTGGAACAGCTCTCATTGTTAGGAAACTTTCTGAGGTCAAGTTCAATGTCCTCGCTGCACCTTCTGCACCTTGTTCCCAGTTCTGGGCTCCGGGGCCAATCACTTTCATCACGTGACTAGCCCGTCTTATTCTAGAGGAACAGAAATTGAGAGCTAGAAGGAACTTCAAAGGTCATCTAGTCTAACCCCTCATTTTACAGATGAGGAAACTGAGGCCCAGAGAGGTTAAATGACTTGCCCAAGCTCGCACAATTAAGTGGCAGAGGCAGGTTTTGAACTAAGATCCTTTGACTACAAATCCAGCACTCTTTCTACTTCTCTGCTTCTTTGAGATGACTTAACTTGGGACATCATTGGCCTCTGTCCAGGCCTCCCTACAGATGTGTTCTCTGCTTCCTGGGGAGGAAGGGCAGGGGTTGTTGAGGAGAGAGTAACAGGCAGAAACCTGAACTGTTTGTCTGGTCTTACCAGTCTGTGACTTTATATGGCCTCAGGGTAAATGGCATTCACCACTCTTGAGATCAGATCAACAGAGAATGCCTATTCTTCCTCCTTATTTCTGAACCCAAGGGGCTTCCCACTGATCCTGGTATCCCAGGGGATCAAAGTTTAGAATGGGAGGAGGGGAGAAAGGGATGCTTTAAATACTTCACACTGTCCTCTGGGCCCACCCTTGTTATAGAGGATGAGAAGAAGAGGTGGAGAACGGCCAAAACCCAAAGGTCCCATTGTCCAGGAATGATCAGATCCCCCTGAGATAAACAAGAGCACAGACTTCCCCACTCCTTCCCTTAAAGTTACAGTCTCCCTTCTTAAGGGCACTGGGATGGTTGTCCTTCCCACCACCCCAAGCCAAGAGCAGGGAACCAAAGGGAAACCACTTCCCTATTTGTACAAGTGGATTCCTGGGCCCTATCTTCTAGTGGGGGCACAGCTGCCAAGCTATTTGTCTCTGCCTTGCCTTGTCAAGGCCCGGCACAAATCTTGCCTCCTCTATGAAGACTTCCTGGGCTACTCACTCTAGCCCCAATAAGAATCTTTCTCCTTTCTGGAATCTCTGTAGGACTTTCCAGCCTTAGGCTAGGAGAGCCCTGGCTTTGGAGTCACCTCTGCTATAGCTGTGTGAGCAGGTACTTGTTCCTTAGCCTCTCTGTGCCTCAGTTCCCCCATCTGTAAAATGAGTATAAGAATACGTTTAATGCCTATCTGACATGGTTGTTGTGAGGAAAGTGCTTTATGAAGCTTGAAGTATTATAATATTGGGAATTAGTACTAGTATAGAATGTTAAAGCAGGGAGGGGCCTTAGAACAGGGAATGTCAGAGCTGGGAGGGGCCTTAGAACAGGGAATGTCAGGGCTGGGAGGGGCTTCAGAATAGGGAATGTCAGAGCTGGGAGGGGCCTTGAAGGTCAGCCAGTCCTATGCCCTCTTTTTCTAGATGAAGATAAGGAGAAGGGAAGGCACTTGACCAAGGTCACACAGCTTCGTGGCAGCAGAGCTGGGATGGCACTGAGAAACTAGGCCTCCTGACCCACTACCTGAGGCTGCCCATTCTGCACAATCCTTACTTCTCCTTAATTCTCCTTGTCTGGTCATTTGACACGCAGAGGAAACCAAATAGTTACCCACTAAGGATGAAGGCGGCTAGCCCAGGGACCTGCCGACAGCTCTGTTGGCATCCCTTGTGAGACCACTGCTGGAAGGACAGAGTTGTCCTATGGTCTTGCCCATCAGACTGTGAGCTCCCTGAGGGCAGGGACTGTCTCTTGACTTTCTATGTACAGTGCCTGGCACATAGTAGGCACTTAATAAATGCTTACTGAATGACTCATTGACATGGGCCCTCTATGGGAAAGCCACAGAAAACATGCACAAGAATTATACTGGATGTCCATGGTCAGTCAGTGCCCACAGCAAGGAAACCATGGAACCAAAAGTAATTTTGCAACTTGTAGACAGCACAAATTGTTTAATGCTTAAAGAACTTCTGTTTCTTGTGTCAATACTCTTTCGAACTAGATTGTAAGCTCCTTGAGGGCAGTTGCCAAGTAATTTACTTTGTATCCCCCTTCTCTCCTTCCCCTCCAACACACTTCCATTCCACGCCTTCATCTACTATTTTATAGAGGGCTGGGCTTGTTTTCTTGTGGGGAAAGAGCCTGATTATAGGAGGATATTTGGTTTATATGCCAGGCCCAGCACATGTACAAAGACTCAATTGAAATGTCCCTATAATCAAGGAACTTCTCTCAATTCGTTCTCTTGGCATCGAGGTGATAGAGTGCTGGACCTGGTGTCAGTGAGACCTGAGTTTGAATTAGGACTCAGACACTTAATAGCTGAGTTACCCCAAGCAAGTCACTTTATCTGTCTGCCTCTGTTTCCTCATCTGTAAAGTGAAGATAGTAATAGCCCCTAGGGTTGTTGTGAGGATCAAATGAGATAATATTTTTTAAGTCCTTAGCAAACAAACCTTAAATCGTTATAGCATTGCTAGCTCTTATTCTCATCCCTGGGAATTTATGTTGTAAAAATTCTGTATATTTATGTGCTGGTCCTTTCCCTGCGTAGAGACAATTCCTCGAGGCAGATATTGCCTCACTTTGGTCTCTGTAACCCCATGACCTGTCACAGGGCATCAAAGGTCAGTCAACATGGATTTATTAAGCATTTACTATGTGCCAGGAACTGGGCTAAGCGTTAAAGATAGAAAGATGCCACCCTATAAGTGCTTAATAAATGCTTGCTGATGGGGATGGGTGGGGTACGATGAGGGACAGGGAAGACCTATGGGTATAGAAATAAAGTTCATGCCTCCTGATAATACTTTCTGTTCTGGAGGCATCCCACGAAGGAAGAGAAGGAGGGAGGGAGGGAGGGGGTTAAGTCCCAGAAGGATTCTGCCTCCTCTTTCTTCAGTTGCCTGTAGGTCTGTCCTGTCATCCCTGGGGTGACAGCTCAGCGGATGATTGTTCTCTACAGCCTTGAAGAACATGGAGAGTGACAGATTATGCAAAGCAGGGTGCTAGGGGCTCCCTAGCTAGTCACCAGGCGCTCTTCCTGCCGGGTTGTTTATATAATGAGCCAGGCACCCAGGTCCTGCAGGGCTGGGCCCCCTGGGAGACCAGACAGCAGAAGGAAGGTCAAATTCTTGGTGTCAGAACTTGCTGATGGGGAGGAGAAAGGGGCAGGGAAACAGGAGCCCTCAGCTTCCTTTCCTTTGTCTTCTGGCAGAAGGAGGCTCAGGAGCTAGGATTCCCTTAGGCTGGGCTGAGCCACTGAAAGTGGGGGTGAGGTGGGGATATATTAGGATATTAATAGAACTCCAAGGAAACAAAGGCAAAATCTGTGCCACCATTCTAGAGTTAGGCAAGAGATTCAAGTCTTTCCTGGAATCCTGTCATCTCAGAGGGGGTAGGCGTCTGAAGGCATGGAATCTAACCAGTAACTGAACCAGAACACTACTGATGTAATCCTCCAAAAGTCCCAAAGTCTCCAGGGAGAGAGAACTACCTCTGCCCCCCAAGGTCACCCATTCCATTTATTGTCAGGAAGTTTCCCCTGATATCACTCCAAAACTGTCCTCACAGACGCTTCTTTCCATTGCATCTGGGGTCTGCCCTCTGGGTCTTTCATTCCCCTTTGTATCTGTTACTCTCTCTGATTTCAATTCCAGGGAAAAGATGCCCCTCTCAGGTTAAGGTCACCTTGTCTAATCTCACCAGCACACTGCTAACTCTAGTCTCAGTTGACACCACCTCCTTCAGCCTCCTCTCCCCTCTGATTGGAGGGCTGGAGAGCTGAGTGCCAAACTCCTCTGAACGCCTTCCTTTATAGCGGGCAGAAACTGGACTCTTAGCTCACTCCACTATGCCTCTGCTGTCCTGCCTGATTTTGACTCCATGGAAGAAGATGCCCCCATCACGGGTATCCCTGGTGTCCTGTTCCCTGCCCCCCATTTCATGCCTCCTTTTGTGTGTTGTCTTCCCCCTTCCCCCATTAGATTGTGAACTCCTTCAGGGTAGGGACTGTCTTTTTATCAAAACCTGTCCCCTCAGGCTGGAGATCCAAGCTCCCTTTGGTGCACTGTCTATATCACAAACTGGTCCACTCAGCCCTGCCTCTGGGGATATGTCACCCCCTTCTCCCTTCCATCTCTTAGAATCCTTGCTCCCTTCAAGGCTCAGTTCCTGGCTTATTTCCTACATGGAGCCTTTCTTGAACCCAGGAATCGCTAACACTCCCTTCCTCCTTGATTGATTCTATAGAATCCTATCTGTATCAGTCAACTAGCATTTATTAAATACCTACTATGTACCAGGCGCTGGAGTACAAAGAAAAGTAAAAGTCAGTCCCTGCCCTCAAGGAGCTCACAGTCTAATAGGAGAGACAACATGCAAACAACTATATACAAACAAGATACAGACAGGAGAAGTTTGGGGCAGAGAAAGGAGAATCCCTTTCTCAGAGAGAACTCACTAAGATTAAGGAGAACTAGGAAAGGTTTCTTGTTGAATTTTAAGTGAGACTTGAAGGAAACCAGGGGAGCCAAGGAGGCAGAAATAAAAACGGGAGAGAATTTCAGGCACCCGGGGACAGCCAGTACAAATGCCTGGAGTCCGGAGATGAAGTGTTGTTTGTGACAAATAGCTAGGAGACCAGCATCACTGGATCTCAAAGTATGTGGAGGGTAGTAAAGGGTAAGAAAATGGGAAAGGTCACTCTTTGTGACCCCATTTGGGGTTTTCTTGGCAGAGAAACTGGAGCAGTTTGCCATTTCCTTCTCCAACCCATTTTACAGATGAGGAAACTGAGGCAAACAGGGTGAAGTGACTTGCCCAGAGTCACACAGCTAGTAAGTGCCTGAGGCCAGATTTGAAGATGAGTCTTCCTGATTCCAAGCCCAGGGGCTTTAAAAAACAGAGGATTTTTGTATATGATCCTGGAGGTCATAGAGCCAATCAATGTATACCAATCAATGATATAGGCTGTGCTCCCCCTCACTTCCTACCACCCAGCAAAATGTCAATTTCTGGAGGCCTGGGACCGTTTTTATTTTTGTCTTTGTATTCCAATGCCTTGCACATGGTGGATGCCTAAGAAATACTGTCGGGTTCAATTTGAATTCTTCAGTGACAGGAGCTCACTCTCTCTCAAGGTCACATTTCTTTATTGAAAAAGCTGTAACACCTGGGATATTTCCCCCTCCTATAGAGGTGAAATCTGTCTTTCTGTAACTTCCAACCAGCTTCCTGGTCCTTTCTTCTCCAGGTGAAAAAGCCCCTTGTCTTGTTTCTAAGGCTATTTCTTGGAAAGCAATCACTTCATTTTCCCAGAGCACTAACTCAGTATCCTGGCAGAGCCTGGGTCTTACAGACCCACTGAGGCAGTGTGGGACACAGAAGCAAATGCTGAATCTGGAGTCAGAAGGTCTGGCTTCGAATCCTGCCCCTGCCCCTGCGCTGACTACCCAAGTGGCCTTGGGGGTTGGGATGACCCCTGGGTTTCAGATCTATGATTCCCTCTGGTTTTCAATTTCCTTACCTGTAAAACAAGTGGGTTGGAAATGGATGGCCCCTAAAGCCCCCTCCAGCTCCAAAATCTCTCATCCTAGCTCCTTCCTTTGGTCCAAAGACAGCAGGAGAGTGACCTCCTCCCTCCTTCTCCCTACACTATATTCTTATAATACCTATAGGCTCCTTCCCTCCCCTTTTAAGTTGGCTCTTAAGTTGCCTTGGGGTCCTTAAATTGACCTGGGCTTCTTAACCTAGAGTTGTAAACTTCTTTTTGAAAAAAAATATTTTGATAACTCTTTCAATATAATTGGCTTCCTCTGTAATCCTATGTACTTTCTTTTGTGCATGATTCTTAGAAGGCATCCATTTGGCTTCGACAGATGGCAGGAAACAAAAATGGTAAAGACCTCATGCTCTACTATTGGGTCCCGAAGGTCCTCATTCAGGAAGAGAGGGAGGCCTTCCCTGTCCCCATGTCGCAACCTAACCAGGTACTTCTTAATGGATCTGTGGAAGGGACTATCTAAGCATCCTACCGGATGGTCAGCTGGTTCCCACTCAGCTGCTTGAACCTTCGATGAAGCTGTTCGATTTGATCTGAAGAGACTGAAGGGGGGAAAAGAGGGAGAGGTCATTAGTAATGAAGGGAGTTCTCTCCTTGAACTATTCAGGGGCAAGCAGGAAAAATCCATCCCCCATCTCCAACACCCCTCACCCAAGACCCTTACCCACTACCCCAAGAGCTCCCCAAGGCACCATTCAATCAGCATTTACTAAACACCACAGTGCCAGGCACTGGGGATACAAAAAAATAAACCCTCCCAAACCAACCCCCCCCCCAAACAACAGAACAGGAGATGCCCTCCAGGAGCTCACGGTCTATTGCCCCAACAAAGCTTTCAGGCTGGGGAAGGAAAGAGGGAGAGGTTCAACTTGAGACTGGAAATTCAGCCCAGGCTCTGGATGGCTCCTGTCCCAACCCATTCTTGGTTTAGCTACACTACACAGGAACACGAACACACTACATATGTATGTGTATATGTATGGAGAGAGGGAGGAGTGGAAAATAAGGCTCAGGGAGGTGGTGACTTGTCTAAGGTCACTAGCATCATAACTCTAGACCTGGAAGGGACTTCAAAAGCCATCACGTCTCCCTGCCCACACACACACACACACACACACACACACACACACACACACACACACACACACATACACACATACATACACACACACACACACACACACTTCATTTTATAGTAAGTCCGTTAACTCACTGCCTTTTTCCAATTTTCCAAGACTTTAAATCAGACATTTGCTCCCTCCCCAAAAAAAGCTTATCTTTCTATAGGCCTTAGGGTTTGCAAAGTGTGGGATTGTATTTATTCACTTTATATTTAGGTTATATACACTTAGGCAGGCTGTCCCAAAAGTCTTAGTGCAGTTTGAAGCTTTTAACCCTTCCCTCCCCCCTTCTCCAGTTGCAAGGGTTTCTGGCTCTCCTTTGCCTCCATCGCTCCTATTTTTCTAAACTCTGTCTCACTTCCATTCCTTCCCACTCCCTACCCTCAAGAAATAGAATGTAAGCTTCTTGAGGGCAGGGACTATTTTGTTTTCTTTTTCTCGACATTCCCTAAACGCAGAACGGAACAGAATTTCCTAGCACTTAAACGAGGCATTGGAGGGACCAGCTGGTTGCCTCAGCTCCTGCTTCTGGTACCCTCTGGGTCCTCAGGCCAATGCTGCCACCCTGTCCACCAAGTCCCAAGACCATTTTTTTCCGCAAATAAGTCACAAGACAGCTCCCTCCTCCCATTTTCCTCCCCCTCCCCCTTCCTTATCCATAGGGTGTTGTGTGTGGAGAGGGTGGAAAACCCAGCTAAACCCGCCCCCCTTTCCCGAAAAAGATAGAAGTTCCTGCCTTTTACATCAGGAGGCGTCTCTACTGAGCACGTACCCAGGCTTAGACTGGAGAAATGGAAGGGTATTCTCAGAGCTCCGGGTTTGAATACGTAACCTGGTCTTGCACTACATAACGTCGGCTCAGCTGTGTGGCCGTCCCGTGCCTCAGTTTCCCTAGCAGTAAAGTGAAGATTTTAAAAAAACAAAACAAAACCCAAACACTGGCTTCGGAAAAAATAATGAATATACATGCACGTGAATTAATTTGAAACACACCTTAAAACTGTGATGCTAACTGAAGTGTGCGGCCTTTCTAAAGCCAGGACCGGGGGGACTCCCAGGTCATTTCCTAATGTAATAAGTAATAAGCGCCATTCTCTCTACTGATTAAGAGAGGAAGAAATGACTGTAGTGCTTAACAAGCCCAGAGTTTGGAGAATGCCCGGGGCCATGCCCAGGGGCACAGCTGGCCTGGCTCACAGCCCCTAGGGCGGCATATTCTGGAGGTACCATTAGCTCTCCCTTCCCGGGCGGACGGCAGCCGCCCCACCCCCACCTTCATCCCATCTCCTAGAGGGCCAGAGGCGAAGCAGCAGCTACTTCCCAGGCCCCCCGGGGGCTGGTACAGAAGGCTGGAAGGGGAACGGAATGCTAGTTAATAATAATTGCAGAATCCCGAGATCTCAGAGTTGGAAGGAACCTAGAAAGTCAGCCCATCTGACCCACACCAGAAAAGGGGTCTTCTCTACTTCTCATGCTCAAGGGGCAGGGGTGGGGGTGGGGGGTGGGGTGGGGGTTTCGGGGGTGTAGGTATGAAGGGGTAGATTTGGAGTCTAAACCGCAGAGTTCCAACCCCAGCTTGGCTGCAATCCTGTCGACCTTCTCCCTCCCCCGCCCCTCCCCTCTCAGCGACATAGGCAGGCAGACTGATTTAGCAGATCAAACATTCACCTTGCGTTCTGGAAGACCTGAGTCAAATCCCACCTGAGACACAAGGCCAACTCATTTCATCTTTGTCTCAGTTTCCTCATTTGTACCAAGAGTAGATGACCTCTGAGGTCCCTCCCAGCTCTAAACCTCTGATCCTATGTGTTGGGTTCAAATCCTGAGCAAGTCATTTTCTTCCAAATTTTTTTTGGAAGTTTCCTGTTTCCTATCTGTAAAATAGGGTTTAATAACACCACCTACCTCTATGGGGCTAATGTGAGGAACAAATGATATAACATACAGAGTGCTTTGCAAACGTTCAATTTTGAGCAAATTAAATATAATAATCTAATTGAATTTATCCAGACCTCAGTTTCTTCATCTGTAAATAGGGATAATAATAGCACCTACCTCTCAGGGATGTGATGAGGATGAAATGAAATATTCAATCACTTTGCAAACTTTATTATAGACAACTATTATTACTAAGTTATTTTTTTCCCTCCCTGGGCCTCAGTTTCCTCATCTGTAAAACAAGCCTCTTGGGCTATGCCCTCTTTTAGCTCTAGCTTTCTGACCATCATGGTTAGGTTAGGACTGTCCTTATTTTTTACACTTCCCAGAGACTCCTGGGAGAAATGTCACTAATATTGACATGTGAAGTGTCAATAAGGGTGTGCTTCCTTTCAGGAATAATAATGAATGAAAAATTCAGATTGACTCACAAGGTAGGGGTTATTATTTACTTGGAAAAGTTTCCAGCCTGGGATTTCTTTAAAGCAGCGTTTCTTAAACTGGGTCCTATGAATTTGTTTCTAAATAACTTACTTTTTTCTTTCTTTTTTAATTTTTAATTTAATTCTTTTTTGTTTTCAACATTCACTTTTATAAGATTTTGAGTTCCAAATTTTTTCTCCCTCCCCTCCCCCTTCCCCAAGGCAGCTAAATAAATGAATTATCTAATTAATTAACTGTTTCTAATGAACAGCATTCCAATGGAATTGATATCCTTTGTAATCGTGTGTATTTTATTTTAGGATGTAAAAACATGTTCTGGGAAGGGGTCCACAGGCTTCCCCAGACTGCCAGAGGGGCCCAGGATATATAAAAGCAAGGTGCCCTAATGCATTAAGAATAAGATTCAGAATTCCAGAATTCCAGAGTTGGATAGGACCTTCAGGAGCATCTGGCCCAGTGGGAACCTTTCCAAGGATTACGTGGCCCCTTTCCCTTTGGAATAGCTCTCATGGTTAGGAAGTTCCCCCTCCTGGAGTAAACTGAAACCTGCCCCGTTTCAAACATTTATCCACCTGATTCATTGTTAATCATAATAATTAATCATTGTTAGGGGGCGCTGCAAGCGGAGCAGGAGATAAAGACTCCCTGGAGTCAGGGAACCAAGTTCAAATCCTGCCTATGACACCTACTGGCTGTGGGACCAGACAACTCTTGAAAATCATAAGCCACATGGTAGGGTAGATATTGGCCTTGGAGTCGGAGGACTACCCTGAAATCTCAGTGCTGCTGCTTCCCAAACGTGGGTGACCTTGGGCAAAACCATTCCTCCTCCCTGGGCCAGTTTCCTCCGCTGTAAAATGAGAGGGTTGGGCTAGATGGTCCCCAAAGTCCCTTCCAGCTTTAGATTTACATAGATTACATCTGCATTGAGAGAAGGAGTCTCCATACTGGGAATTTTGTACAGGGATGAAAGCACAGACCTTTGGATAAAAAAAAAAAAAGAATTGCGGATATCAACCGCTGCTGGTTCCTATAAACCCTTCCAGGTTAACAAAACTCTCTCCTCTGATTTCCTTTGGCATCCAGAAGGCTGTGTTTATTCCCATCAGATTGTTCATGCAAACTTTACTTTTTTCCGTGCTTGCTTCCAAGTCCTGTAACCCAACCCTTGACCCTGGCTGATGAAGTCACTGATGCAGTGGGAACCATGGGAACCAGGCAGTCTCCTGTTTCTGGAATCCTCTCCTACTGTTTTTGTTTTCTTAAATCCACACTGGGGACAGCGGGGAAAGCTAAAGTATAACTCCTCTGGGCCCTCAGACCATCCTTATTCATCATCCTTCTATCCATCCATCTCTCTATCCATTCACATATATACCCATTAAACTCCTACTGTGTTGAGAGGACTGTATCTGTACTGGGAGGAAGAAGATGCAAATTGTAGCATCATCATAGGATCAGAGACTTGGAGGTAATAATTATAATAATCAATATTTATATAGCACCTACTATGTGTCAGACACTGTGCTAAGTGTTTTACAGTTCTTACCTCATTTGATCCTCACAACAACCCTGGGAAGTAGATGCTGTTATTATTCCCATTTTACAGTTGAGGAAGTTGAGGCAAACAGATTAAGTGACTTGCCCAGGGTCACCTAGCTAGTAAGTGTCTGAAGCTGGATTTGAATTCAGATCTTCCTGACTCTAGCCAGGCCTGGTGGCTCTATCTACTGCCCCCACCAAAGCCTTCATTTTACAGGTGGCGAAACTGAGGCCATGGAGGTGATTTGACTTGCATCATGTTACACAGCTATTCACTCACTCATTCATTCTTGAATATGCCTTTTAAAATTACCTAGTTTGTGGCCAAGATGCCAGGGATTGTAGCGCTTAATAAATATTTGTTGAATTAAATATTCTTTCTTCTTCTGTAAAACAGGAGGGGTGGGCTGCATGCCTCTGAGGTCGCTTCTAGCTTTAAATCTAAGGTCCTGTGGAACTTTGTTCACATCTGGCCTACAAAAGATCTTGGCTTCATG